GTGAGAGCCCATCTCTAAAAAAAATAATAATAATTAGTGGCTGGGTGCGGTGGCTCACACCTGTAATCCCAGCACTTTGGGAGGCCAAGATGGGCAGATCATGAGGTCAGGAGTTGGAGACCAGCCTGAACAATATAGTGAAACCCCGTCTCTACTGAAAACACAAAAATTAGCCAGGTGTGGTGGTGTGTGCCTGTAATCCCAGCTACTCAGGAGGCTAAGGCAGGAAAATCGCTTGGACCTGGGAGGCAGAGGTTGCAGTGAGCTGAGATCACGCCACTGCACTCCAGCCTGGGCGACAGTGAGACTCTGTCTCAAAATGAATAAATAAATAAATAAATAAAAATAATTAGCTGGGCGTGGTGGTGTGCTCCTGTAGTCCCAGCTACTTGAGAGGCTGAGGTGGGAGGACAGCTTGAGGTCAGGAGTTCGAGGTTGCAGTGAGCTGTGATTGTACCACTGTGCTCCTGCCTGGGTGACACACTCAGACCCGGTCTCAAAAATATATATATTTTTTAATGGAAAATACTCCTATACCAATTAAAATCAGAACTGTTTACAGTTCTTAAAACAAATTTTCAAAATATTTGAAACTTTCATAATAAAATGTTGGGGAAAAAGGATTCCAGTCAACAGAAATCCCAGTTCCTCGTCTACTGTGCCGTGCAGAGGGGCCTGCAACCAGGGCTGCTGCCTGCTCCCCGGGTTTGGCCTTGGGCCAGCCCTTTGCCTGGGTGGCTCAGGCCCCTCATTTGTGAGATGGGCCTAATGACCCACTGCAATGGGTGGTTCTGCAGGTTAAATGCTAAATGTGAGAATATGCTCAAGTTGTAAAATATGCTATGCCCCTTCAAGGTTTTACTGTTACAGACATTTCAACTGATAGTATTATAAACAGGTTCTTGTTAAACTAAATATTATCTAGTGTTTCTCCAGCACACTATGGTTTTAAAGAAGAAAGGTGGCCACTGAGTCCTATACTTTGTCAAGGGATGGGAGATGCAGTGAACAGCAAAAGGAGCCCTCGGCAACCGCAGATCCTCACAGTGGGATCTCTCCAAGTGCAGGAGTCAAGTTCTCATAGCTCAGATAGGGCTGAAGTTTGGAAAAATCAGATAGAAACACATAAAAAGAACCTAAATAGAATTCAGAATTTAAGTGTCAGGTGAAAAGAGTGAGTCTTAAAATTAGGGCAGGAAAACTATTTGTCATTCCTCTATTCCTTTGAAAAGGCAGCAGAGTTACTAAGTTTCCAAGATCTAATTATAGTTCTGGCCTCTGCTTCAACATGGGGACTTGTCAACTGTAACTTAGAGTGTGTAATTAACAGAAGTGAGAGATTCAACACATTTCACCCCTAATCATTTATGAGGCAGCATAAAATACTACAACAACTGATCATGGCTAGGCCTTAGATCAGAGGCTCATGGACAATTATAACCTCAATTGCATCTGACAACCCTCGAGCTAAAGCTCCCCATTCTTACAATATCAAATCCTGCTAAGATGGAGAACACAGCAGGCATAACTGCTTGTTCACAGGCTGTGCTGTGAGATGTGCCAAGAGTCAAGAAGGAGTGCAGACAGAATCCTGTGGACTCCTGTTGTTGTTTACCTGACAACAAAACACGAGGCCTAAATATTGGAAGCTATCAATCCCGGAAGGTCAAACATGTACTGTAGTCAATATTCAAAAACAAAGGGAGCTGCTGCAGGAAGGAAGGGTTTTAACTGCCTGTTTGGAAATTGTGCGAAGTGGGATCTTGCAGTGGATAGGCTGCACCAGCGATACGCAGATACGCTGGGAAGTCTTAGGGACACACCTGGCTCTGTGATCATTTTTTCCCACAAGCCCTGGGGTCCCTCCTATGTGCCAGGCATCAGGCACACCAAAGCTGTGTCCCAGGGAGCTCTTAGCCCAGGAGAGAAGACAAACAAGGACAAGGTACAATCAATGAGATCAATAGCAAGAAAGGAGGTCCGGACAGAGAATCATGAGCGCTAGGTGTCTGCATATGCTGAGGTCAGAGACAGCGCCACAGCAGAGAAGTTTTCACGGCACCCCCAAGAGCAGCAGGCCTTTCGCTCGACTGACTTGGGGGGCTGGCTGAGGAGCATTCCGGGTGAGGAACTTGAGTCCCCACAGAGACTGTGAGAAGCCAAGGGTGTTCAGAGATGTGCACGAAGTGTCCTATAAAAGCACCATTTTCCCCTGAAAGTGAGAATAGTACAAGGGCATGGTAGGTACCTTTATGGCCACGCAAACCAATATGATGACTTTTCTGTAAAAGGTAATAATGGGGTAGATTAACCCAAAATCAATCATATTATAAAATTTCCTATTCAACTTAAAATTCTTTGAGGGCTCACACTCACACATACAGAAATTAGCATTTTTACCATCATACATCATTCCTTGGTCCATCAATATTTAGTAAACTTAATTATTTTCATGACATTTTAGAATGCAAAATACTCAGAAATTAAGCAAGTTTGTTTTCTTCACTCTAGTTTTCTTTAAAATGAAGTTTACACATTGCATCAAGAAGTTAGAGTTTTGAGAGCACAGGCTTATCCAATTTCCATGGAGTTTTCCACAGACACTTCATGACAATGCCCTACAGCATGAAGGAGGACACCGAGATTATTGCAAGAAATGGAGGACCAGGTGTGGCGGCTCATGCCTATAATCCCAAGGCTTTGGGAGGTCAAGATGGGAGGAATGCTTTAGGCCAGAAGTTTGAGACCAGCCTAAGAAACATGGAGGTAAAACATTAAAAAAAAATTAGCCAGGTTAAGTGGTGCATGCCTGTAGTCCCAGCTACTAAGGAGGCTGAGGCACGAGAATTGCTTGAGCCCAGGAGGTTGAGGCTGTGGTGAGCTATGACTGTGCCACTGCACTCCAGCCTGGGTGACAGCAAGACTGTGTCTCTGAAAATTAAAAAAGAAAACAAAGAACAACAACAAACAAAAAAAGGAAGGGCTCAACCCACCTTCTATATAGTTACATATGGTCCAGACAAGCGTGCATCAAAGTTAAATGTTTCCTTTACAGTAAAATACATTCTTCAAAATAGAGTAGTTTGAAGATGAGATCTTTAAATTTGTAGAGATGATTTAAAGTAAATATGCCTCATGTTACTACATTGGCAGGAGTATTTTAAAACCAGTACAACAAGGGGTACCAGCCCTCCAAAGCCATGCTGGTTATGTATAGCAGGCTGATGGTCCTGGTGTCCCTGCTAAAGGTACACTGCCCCTGAGCCAGGGAACAGCACTTCTGTACAACTGGACACACGCTGGGAAGTCACTGCCTCCAATGCTTCACGAAAGACACATTTTGCTGTTTTAGCACATACCAGAAGAAAACCAACTTTATATGATTGCAAGATATGAAAAACATAAATAGCCTTGGCTTTGTAAGTTCCCAATGGTATGGACAATTTCATAAAATTTTTAGAAAATGCTATTGTCAAAGATGCATACTGACCTTTTTTTTTTTAAGATGGAGTCTTTCTCTGTTGCCCAGGCTGGAGAGCAATGGCATGATCTCAGCACACTACAACCTCCGCCTCCTGGGTTCAAGCAATTCTCCCACCTCAGCCTCCCAAGTATCTGGGACTACAGGCACCCACCATCACCCCTGGCTAATTTTTGTATTTTTAGTAGAGATGGGGTTATACCATGTTGGCCACGCTGGTCTTGAACTCCTGACCTCAAGTGATCCACCCACCTCAGCCTCCCAAAGTGCTGGGATTACAGGCGTGAGCCACCGCACCCGGCCCTGATGTATTTTTGGGTGAAATGACAGATGCCTCAGATGTTTTCAAGTACTATAGCATGAAAACGCTGGGTAAAGATAAAGAAAACAAGATCGCAAAATGTAGGCAATTAAAGCTGGCTGATATAGTGGTTCATTAGGCTATTTTTCTCTATATTTGTGTATATTTGAAAATCTTCATTATAAAAAATTTATAAGTATATAAAGGGAGAATCTGGGGGGGCCAGGCATGGTGGCTCATGCCTGTAATCCCAGCACTTTGGAAGGCTGAGGTGGGAAGATCCCTTGAGGCCAGGAGTTTGAGACCAGCCTGGGCAGCACAGTGAGACGCTGTCTCTACAAAAAATAAAATTAAGAAAAAAGAAAGAAAGAAAGAAAAAGAACAAAAAATGAGGGGGAAATATGAAGGGAAAAAAGTACATAAATGCTCTTTTAAATGAAAAAACAGATTCCCTAACCAAATTATTTTCTATCAGTAGGCAGTGTTTCCTAACCTTTGAGGCTGGTGACCAACAACTTGGGTCACTTGTCCTACTGAAAGTGGTAAATCTTGTGTTCTCAGATAAATTCCTCTAAAATTCTAAAACAACCTTTAAATAAATAAATACAATAGGGAAATAACCAAGTCAACAAGTGGAACAAACTCAGATTGTACATACATGAGTAGTTAGATGGATCAGGAAAGAGGTGCTTCACAAATGGCACCATAAAACATTAAAAATTCACGGGTTTTTTTAAAGCACCTCTAATTTGCCTCTCCAAAAACATAAAAAGATGACAGAAAATAAGGAAACATCATCTGCTGTGTCACAGTACAAATTACAGATCATTTAAGTTTCTAATTTTAGCATCAGATTCTTTAAATACTATTATTGATCTGCTAGGAATCAATGTTCTTGAATTCAGCAATTCTTATACTAGCCACAAGTAATGTTTTCAACAAAACCATTACAGATTCCCAAATTGTGATGTTCTCATTTTTACTTAAATGCTGGACTGTAAAAGAATAAATTACGATCTCCAGTTTAAATGGTTTTTATAATCTTTTTCTAGGAAGACTGAATAATTACTTTCCTAGAAATCTAAATTAAGAGCTTCCTGAAAATTTAATGAGTTACGGGAAATAGCAACATAACATTTATTACTAGCCTGAACAATACCGAATTATCTCCCCTCCTCATTCTCCCTAAAGGCAAAGCCTGATTAAGAACCACTATGGTTTGGTTCTCCAGCAACTTTTATTGGTCAAAGGATGCAGAAGGATATATGGTGTCTGTGGGTTAATTAACAGGATCGTTTATAAAACAACTTTACATTTATCTTATTTTTAAAATTCTTGCTTTTGAATAAGCTGATGTGTTAGAATAGACATGCTCCTATCCCATGCAAAAAGCTGTTCAAAAATGAGCAGCTTGCAAATCTATCATAAATGAGACATTGAATAAAACATTCTTACAGTGAGGTCTAAGAAGTAGTTCAGTCTGAGAATTTGCTTCAGATACTTTTTGAAATAAAATATTCAAGGCATAAAAAAAGCAAAACTCAAAATATCTAAAACAGATACATACTGGTATTTTTATCCTAGTTACTTCCCAGAGTTTTTGTGTGTCTCTGTGCTCTGCTGATTAAAATAAACAACAAAAGCAGTAGGCATCTTCTAACTAAAAGTTAATTTACTAGTCTTCAACTAAAAAGTCACAGTGGAAGAACATATATAAGGTGAAGAAAGCTTTTTAACCTTTCAGACTTAAATAATACTGTATTTCAACTTTAAAGAAAGGTTCCACCATATATTTTTTGCACTGACATTTTAAAATATAAGAACAAGTCTTTGTAATACAATATACACTTCAATATACCCAATATACCTTATATGAATTAAAAACATGTCAACTTGATAACTGTAGTAAGGCATTTAAGTATTCAGCAGAAGCCATAAAGAAATTTCTTAATGAGTGGTGTCCTTTTCATATTAACTGGATTTAGCAGGTTTCCTTAAAATGAACAGGAAACAAAAGATATGAAAAACAGGCAGTGATGCCATTCTACTGAATTCCAGAAAAAGCACAGTACAAACAATGTGTTTTCTAGCAGGGAGACCAGACAGACCAGCAAACTGGAAATGGACGAGCGGCCCCAGCTTGCATGGTCTATTGTATTTTATCCACCGCTGAGAGAAGTATTAGTAGCCCGGTAGGTTTGGGTAAAGGTACCAGAATCCTTAGTGCTAGTCTCATAGCCTAAAACAGAGCAGGTACTCCACATATACTTCCTGAACTGACCTGGATGAAGAGGCTTTAAAATCAACAGAGCTGGACAGTATAAAGTTCACGGAAAAACTCCATTTTTCATTTTATTTTTTTTGGTATGTTAGTGAATGTCTACTGATCTAGTATTTCAAGTGTGGATCACGTAAACACCATGTAGAATGTAGTAAACAGAATTAAATAAGAAACACACTGGCTATCAATGCCAGAGTCTTTGAATATCAGGTCATAAATATAACCAATTGTGCAATATAACCAACATGATGAGAAGAGCACACCTCACAACTGACAATTTTAGTTCATATGATTAAAAAAAATAAAATCTGAAACTGCATTTAGTGCCACATTCTATCATATCATACATCAGATTCCATGCTGCGGAGCCGCACTGGGCTACAGGACATACAGTACATAGCATGTTTATAGCATGTTTATAGCATGTTTTAAACCGAAAGTGAAAGGGAAAATATGAAACAGAAAATTTTTACATACACATCTAACGGTGTTGTCCATTTAATTCGATTTATATGATTTGCTGTGCCACTTTGACCAGCTTGCAGAACACCCCAAATTCTCTTTTCCCCATAAAGATCTACTTCCATACAGAGTAGAAAAGGATGGTGGTAAAAAAACTTCAGATTCTTCAGGTTCCAACGATTGTGTCCCAAATGCCACTGTATGAACACCTAAAAAATAATAAGAACAATGTCAAAATCTGCACAATTATAAATGCAAAAGTAAATACAGCTTAAAGCCTAAAAGAGAATTCGTGAACATCTCGTCTTTCAGTATTTGTCTGTGTCTACTACATGATGTCGACTATAAATAAAACGTCCACTGTGGTAAATGGGAAAAAAGAAGAAGCTTTAAAAAGCTAAAGGGAGACATTTGTCAATTTCATAAATGGGTCTCCTGTTTTAGCAAAAGGCACATTCCTTTAGACCTCAATCAATCCAGGAAAGGCTCCTCACTGACATAAGGAATTAGGATATCTCACCCTCTCCCGTCAACCACCACCTGCCCTTCCTTTCTTTCTGAACAAGAACATGAGAATTTCCTATAGGGTGTAAATTCTTTCAGTTAGAACATCCAACTTTAACTTATGGGATAGTCTCCTTCTCTTTTTTTTTTTTTTTTTCTGAGACTGTCTCACTTTATCACCCAGACTGGAGTGCAGTGGTGCGATCTTGGCTTACTGCAACCTCTGCCTCCCAGGCTCAAGCAATTCTCCTAAGTTTCATGAGTAGCTGGGACTACAGGTGCATGCCACTATGCCTGGCTAATTTTTTGTATTTTGTAGAGATGGTGTTTCACCAAGATGCCTAGGCTGGTCTCAAACTCCTGAACTAAAGCGACTGGCCCACCTCAGCCTCCCAGAGTGCTGCAATTAGAGCCACTGCACCCGACTGGGATCCTCTCTTTTTCATACTGCAGCTTCCCAAAGCTTTAACAGGCCTCTGCACTTCAGCTTGTCAGGAACTCAGGGCAGTGAGGTGTCCAAACCCACCTGTGCGCTCTCCCATGGCTCCTAACAACCACACTCCTGAGCATTCGGGGCCTGTGCGCGCCGCGGTGACCTTAGCTGTCTCAAGGCAGCATCTCCGTACTGAATACCCGAGCCCATTCTTTCTGGGTCCAGCTCACCTAAGGACCAAGCAAGTCTTCTTTTAAAAAAAGTTTTATGTTTCTGAGATCCCAAAAATAGATTAAAAAAAAAAAAAAAAAAAGCAAAGTATGGAACCCTGTGTATATATCCCACCATTCTGAATAAAGAGGAAAAAACAATTTACATGTTTGCTTGCACCGGCACAAAACGTCTCTAGCACGATACATAAGGAACGGCTGATTCAGAGGAGTTCTAGATGGCCAGGGACAGGAGGGGGTGGTAACAGCGGGACTTTCCACTGCATACTCTTTTATACTTCTTGAATTTCAAATTATGTGAATATATTATTTATATAAAATAATTTAAAATTAAATTACAAAGACGCAATTTTTCACTTATTGGATGGGCCAAAAGTCCAAGTATGATGATACTACACGCTGTGGACATGGCTTTAGTGAAATAAGCCCATCACTAGGAGAAAATGTGACCGTCTCTACACCAAGATCCCAAATGCTTATGTTCTCTGACCCAGCAATTCCACTTCTGCGCATCTGTCTGACACACAGACTCATGCACATGGAAAAAAAAAAAAAACATATATATATAAAAGTATTTACTGTGACATTACTTATAATAGCAAAATACTGGCAACAACCCAGATGTCCAAAGTAGACTGGCTACATAAATTATGGCAACACATACGTGAAATATAGGTTGAGTGGTCCTTATCCAAAATACTTGAAACCAGAAGTATTTTGGATTTTTTCAGATTTTGAAATATTTCCATTATACTTACCAGTTCAGCATCCCTAATCGGAAAATGTGAAATTTGAAGTGCTCCAATGAGCATTTCAGTGGCAATGTTGGCAATTAAAAAGTTTCAGATTTTGGAACATTTTGGATTAGGGATACTCAACCCATGTTATATATTACACACACACATTACGTATGACATTATGTGTTATATATATGTACATTAGGTATATGTATATACGGGAACTATACGCTGATTTGTCATGATTTATAGGTTATATAACAGTAAGTAAAAAAGCAAGGCGTGGTAGTCTATCATATTTTGTATAAAAAAAGGGAAGAAAACAATGGTTCTTGAATGTATTACCCATTAAAAAAAATAAAAAGTACTGCTGAAGAATCCTAATTTATACCCTTATTTTTTTTTAACCTAGAGGTACTTATGATTTTGATGATCTCAGAAAAAAACACATCTTGAAGACTGTATATGAGTTGCTCTATCTGATGTATTCAGGGATACAATATTAAAATAGCAAGGTCATGTAAATACAACCTCATGCTGAGCTTAGTAATACTCAACAGCAAGCCAACTGTAATGATTTATGTTACAGAGTCTTGGTTTTTGTACTAAGCTTAGTAATTTTTTTTTCTTTCTGATAAAAAAAAATACAAAAGGATGACGCATCCATTTCTGTTGAAACCCAGCCCTTCCAACTGGGCCCGACTCTCCTCCTTCCTCCTTTACCTAGCACCCTCCTTCTTCCCTGCCCTCTCCTTGCCCATTTTTCTCTCCGTTCCCCCTTTTTAAACATGCTGCAATTTCTCCCATCACCCACACCCCTGACTTTAAATTAACCCTTTGCACCCTACAGTGCCAGCCTGCGCTTCCTCAGAAGAGGAATGGACACTCTGCTTGCTCACTTCCTACTTCTTCCTGATGGATGGCCAGCCATCTTCTACCTTCATAATTCTGCTGAAACTGTTCTTGATCAAACTGATCACTGACTTTCTATTCCCCATCCCAATGTGTGTTTTTCAGCTCAGTCTTAGCTTATGAGGCTTCCCTCTGTTACTATTACAGTACATAATGAACACTCCTTTGATTTACTTATAATTAGGGCTTAAGTGACACCCACATTCCCCTGATTTTCTTCACACATTTCTGACCATTTCCTTTTTCATCTTTTTTGTAGATTCCTCTTCCCCTGCTCATCCTTCATCTCCAGGGTTCTGTTGATCACTGCTCTCCTTAAACACTGTTCTCTGGATGATCACATTGCTTCCACAGTTTTAGCTGTTCCTATATATTGATGGTTCCCAAATTTATACTGCCAGCCAGGAACTCTTCCCCAAGCTTACTAGATAACTCCATGTGCATGTCCCAGTGTCACCACAAAGGCTGCACATTCGCAACAGAGCCATCTTTATTCCCTCACACTCCCTGCTTCTCCTATGGCTCCACCGCATCTCTGTCCAGAGACCCCAGTGTGACAGCTGTGAGTCATCCTTGGTTGCTCCTCCCCTGCTGGCCCCTCCTGCTCACCCTGTCCCACCTAAGAACCAGTTGTCCTGTTCCACTATTGGACATATGAGTCATAAGATGCTACTGCCTAAATATATCTTAGATCCATCTCTCTCTCTCCATCTCTGCTTCCATATCCTTGTTAAAGCATTAATCAGTTATTTCTTACTAGGATTACTCAAAAATGCCTTATAACTGGTATCCTGGCCTCCAACCCTGTCCTCTCTTCAGTCTGTTTTCAACATAACTCCCTACATACATGACTTATCTCAGGTCACAACCCGATCACATCACCCACCTGCTGACAACCCACCACCTACAGCAGTGGTTCTCAACCTTGGATGAACATTAGAACCGCATGAGTGAACATTTAAAAATGCTGATGCCTCGACCATACTTCAGCCCAATTAATTCAGCGTCTCCAGAGGCAGAGCCTGGGATTAGAACTTTTAATGCATCTCAGTGACTCTAGTGCTCATCCAGGGTTGAGAATTGGTAATCTACAAGGTAAAGTTCTAGATCCTTGATGAGGACTGGCTGGTTCCTGCCTTTCTTCAACCTTTTCTCCTGCTATTCTATCTTCCTCACTCCCTTTGCTGGCTCACTCCCTTTGCTGGCTCACTCTTCCTTATATTCTGAAAGCCTGAGCTCATCTAATACCTCCTCCTGGAAGCCCTCCCTGACACCTCCTCTATCCTCTGGCTGTGGCAGGTCCCCTTCTTCATGTTACCCTGAGCCTGTGCATCCCTCAATTACCACATCAGCCTCGTGATATTATAATTATCCTCTGACTGTCTCCCACGGAAGACAGTTTCTTGGAGGACAAGGGGTGTGATTTATTCATTTTTGTATCCCAGCATCTGACAAAGAATAGGCACTCAGATGTTTGAATGAATCAATTAAAAGGTGATGCCTATATATAGTTACTTTAGTAAATGACAATTACATAGTATTTTGTCAGCTGCCTACATAGCTGCCTACATAGCTAGGATTATTTTGAATTATTTTAACTGAAGCAACAAACACAAAAATGAGGCATTTTATAATTGAGGCATGCTCAGTGAGCTTCAGAAATAAAATTACTCTGGACTCCATAGCTCCATGATGCCCGATCTGCAAAGATCAACACTACACCATGTACCTTAACTCCCTTACACATGACCACTGGTCCAACAGAATTAGCATGCTGTTGACAGAGTGGACAAAGGCCTATTCTTCCTCCTTTTAGTGAAGGACCCAAGAAATACTATAATTCTAAATGCAAACACTCCCTGAAACCTTGACTACCCCTCCACAGCTGAGTTGGTGTGCCCATCCACCTTCATCACCATGGAAACCATCCTGGTAAGGGCTTTCACCTCAGCCAGGAGAACATGACCTTTGAACCCATATGTGATGATTTTAGGTTGGCAGGTACAGAGAGAATAGTCTTTATTAAACCACTCCTGAAACTATTAATTAAAAGGTGATCTACTGAGCTAGAGTGTAAAATATGCAGCAGAAAATTTGACTAATGGAAAGGCTTTTACCTG